CCACGAACCATGAGATCACGACCTAAGCCAAAACCAAGAGTCGGATGCTTAACCACCTAAGCCACCCAGACACTCCAAACGGTAGCCATTTTTAGTGTTATGATTGGGAAGCCTTTATTCAAATAGTAGATACTGACTTAGCCTATAAAGTATGGATAGAATGATCACATACAAGAACCAAGGAAAAGGGCAGAAATCCCCAGAACACAGACTCAATTCAAGCATGAGGAGTATTCAGCAGGGCTAGACCCTAGGAGAGCAGCAAGAAGCAAGGCTGGCAAGTTCATGCTGAGGTTGGTGTGGAGAGACCAAAACATCCCCTACAACCATGCAAGTCTTCTTATCACGTAAATGCAACTTGATCCTATTTCACTAGAAACCTTCACAATTGATCTGACTATATAAAAAAAAGTCACCTCTAGAAGAATGACTACTCACTTCACGCAACTCAAGACTGCGTAAAAGATGTGACACGAAACAAGAACGCATGAATGTAACATAAATTCCCTACATTTTGTCATAGACCACTGAATGCAAAAGACGATACGAACTTAATTCTTACTTGCATCATCAGTTAATCCTACCGCTCCCTGTAAAGTGTATCTACCTTTTCTTTCTAGAAAGACAAAAACATCGAAACCTCACTTACTCTGCAGAAATGGAAAAATGGGCCTCGTAGGTTCAGCCGGCATGTGCTGTGATGACCCATCTTAACATTCAACCAACACGGTTTCAAAACGACTGCCTTCTGACCCTCCAACCTTCAGTATTTTTTAACTTACTCATTAAGTCAGGAAACCTGGCTGACTGCGGATCCTGTCCCTGAAAAGATTTATAACCCCCCAGATTATACTATCACATTTACCCACTTGGGCAGTTACACGGCAGAAATGAGTAAAGGGGGAAAGTAAGGGGGGGGCACCCAATTTCTCGTTGAGCTTATTTAGACTGCATATTAAAACATAATTTGTGGAACTGCAAGATTTCAGGTATGTAAATATGCTGGGTTTGCCACTAAGAAGCTTTGTGACTTTAGGCAAGTTCTTTGGGCCTTCGTTTCCTCGAGCCTAAAGAGAAAGGGTTGGCCTGGTAGATCCCAAAGATCCCTCCCCGCTGACAAGCTGCAGAATTCTAAAGGTCAAACAAGTCTTTGTAGAAAATAATATTTAATTATTGAGGGAGGAGGAAATATATAATAGTGCAACTACGTGGCCTACATAATAAAGTCTCGATGTGTTAAGGTGAGAACGATTTAAAGCATAGTTAAATTAAAATGATGGCCTAGAAGAAGAGGATTAATATTTAACACTGATCATTTGAAATAGTAAGGGGTGGAGGTGGAACTCGTGTTACCCATACAAACCCAAAGATCATTCAGCTGGATTCCTTAAGCAAGAAAGATTATCTGAGTCAGAAGATCAGCATGAACAGGTGTGAACACAGTATTAAAAAGACACATTATGACCCAAAGCTGCGATATCAAAGCTGTGAGCAAAGAAAGGTAGCAATGATAATTAACGGAACACAGGTTTTTTTTTTTTTACACCCTAAAGTTTTTTTAACCATTTTGCAGTCTCAAAGGAATGCAGCCTTGTCTAATTGTTCTTTCCCTCCTCACCCCATATGAAAGTGTGAGTGGCTTCATGACTCTCATGGTGAGAAGTTTTAAAGAGTGCCCTTCTAGTCTTATCTTTGAAAGTGGTCACTTTGGGGGCACCTGGGTGGCTCGGTCAGTTAAGTGTCTGACTTCGGCTCAGGTCATGATCTCATGGTCCGTGAGCTCGAGCCCCGCGTCAGGCTCTGTGCTGACAGCTCAGAGCCCGGAGCCTGTTTCAGATTCTGTGTCTCCCTCTCTCTCTGCCCCTCCCCTGTTCATGCTCTGTCTCTCTCTGTCTCAAAATAAATAAACGTTAAAAAAAAGAAAAGAAAGTGGTCACTTTGTGTAATCAGTGCAAGGAAGGTCCCCATCCCCTTCGTCATCTTCTTCCTTCACAGAGTGACAAAATAAAGGTCTACCGTAACCAATCAACTTTTAAATGTCAACGAAGAGTAGAAATCAGAATTTTCCATTTACTTTCCTCAGCATTTTAAATAATGGCATGACTTTAAAACGAAAATTGTCTTTTTCTAAGTCAGGTTGTACACTATTCTACCACAGACCTACCAACGCAGTATAGTTGTTCAGAAAATTCACCCTGGAGATATTTTAAAAAGGAAGTTGACTAGATTTCAGGTTTGTTTTTGGGTTTTTTTGACAGAAAAAAAAATTTCATAGATTCCCCCAGAGTGTTCATTTCTCTGTAAATAACAATAATGTTTAAGAAAAGAAGAAGAAAAAAAAAAATAACCAGTGGCAATCACATTTAAGGATGAGAAGAAAGTTACATTTGCCAAAACCCATCCCTGAAATTCACGATGACTGTTCAGTGGATTAAATCTGCAATCGTCACAGAATTTGAGCCCCTAAAGTTGTAAACAAAATATAGAGCGCTCTTTTGTTCGTGACATGTCATGAACAAATTACCAAAATGTGTTTTCTCCTCAGGTGTCAGTTTTTCCCTCTTTTAGTGACTGATGGTTCCCAGTGTTATTACAGAAACAGATTGATCTTTTTAATGAGCCAGTTTAATAGACTCCAAAATCTCACCGTGGCTGCTCATCCATGTCAGACCATATGCACCAACAAAACATTCAGTAAAACAAAAAAAGCTCTGCTGTCAGCTCCATACTCTATAAAATTTCATATAGTAGATCTGGATATACAGATAAATAACCGGAGAAGAGGAAAATGCATATGCAAACAAGATGCAGAAAATATATGCAAAAAAATACTGTAGAGACCCATATTTTCTTGGCTCTGATCACATTCCCACAAGATACAAATGTATTTACACAACATGTTCTCATTACCCATCCTCCTAAGTCTAAGGAAAGCCACTTGCCATCCTTCCATTAAAACACACACTTCGGGGTCCCACTTGCAAAAGAATGTTCCAGCCCAAGAGCAACTGTGTGAATTCTGACGCCAGCAACTCTCGATGAATAACCGAAGGGAGAATAAGCCTGGAGGCTCTTTTAAGAAAGTTCTACTTGATCGCATGCAAACACGCATGCACATACAGCTACAGATCACCAAAACAAAAATGCTGATTATCTGTGGAACTTAAAGGAAGTTTCCATATCAGTGTTAGCACACTGCTCAAGGCTCACCTCAGCGTCGTCTGAGCAAAGTCTGCAGGCACAACACCTTCAAATAGAAAACACTGGAAAGAAAACCAGTGGGGCAAGGGCAGGGAATATAGAGAAGGAAATGAAACTGTTTTGTCTGCTAGTCAGCAATTGGGGTTTCTAGAACAGGTGGTGTCCACTTCCAACTTTGCCCTATAGGATTATCTTTACCTTTATGGCAGCCATCTCAACCTTTCCCTGGTATCCGAGCGTCCACTCAAATGTTTTCTTCCCAAGTGTCCATCTACTCTCTCCCTAATTCTTTGATATGATCCTAGAAAAATGGAGCCTGAACATCTCCATACCTGCACATAGCACTGATTTCCTGCAGGGTAAATGGGTTAGAATCAGAGTAAGGTACCTGTGAATCATCTGTTCTCGGGCTGGCTCTTGGTTTTCAGTATCATGTGGACACCACTCAGACACCTGGATTAAGCGGCTTCCTTTAAAAGCTCAAGTACCAAATGCTGCAGTACAACTGAGGAAATACGGCTTGCAAAGACGAGAAAGCAGCACTGCAGGCAGGTCATGTATGGAGGTGGGTCTACGGCAGTCAGAAGTAAACTAACGTTTAACCTTTTGCTTTAGGATTTTAAACCACTAAAGGGTCCTACGTCGAGAGGAGAAAAATTCCAGAGACTGTAGCATAAAAACTGCTTAACAGAGGATTATGTAATAACTGTATGTAAACTGGCCGGCTTTTAATAACATCCTGATTTGCAAAGCAGCTAATACATTTAAGGGTAGCTAAGTCGGTCACAGATAGATGTCTCTGAGTAGCTCCAAGGATCATAAGCTCCTATGAATCTGGAACATAATTGTGCCAGAACATTAACCCCCTCAAAGGCTGTCACCTTCATGCCTGATGAAATGCAGAAAGAGAGAATGGGTAAGTAGAGAAAGGAGACAAATCACGTGACAAACACATTTCTGAATACAGTTTCCTTTGGATACAGTTCCATATTTTTACAAATACTACACAGGATGCTGCTAATAAGGCTTCATACTCCTCTATTAGAAAATATTTATATAGGAGAATGAGGTCCTCAAGAAAATTATTTTAACAGGCACATGAGAAATTTCATGGCAACGCCTTATTCAACAACCACTTTGTAGGGCTGAATGGAGAAGGGGCTTCGTTTTACAGTTCTTAGAATTCTCAGGTGCGAGAGCAGAGTGTCTGATGGAATGAATATTGGCTGATAAACTATTCAGCAAAAAATGCCATCTATTAATCCTATTAACTTAACGCCTATCTTCACTCAGTTCATCTAGCTTCCCAGAAGTTTTCTCGTAACTCAAATAAACCCCAAATGAAAAAGCTATTGCATTGTGTTTATTGAGCAACGCCTAAAGGCCAGCCTTCAAAACCACTGTGTTCTGAGAAAACCTGGAACGGCAAATTTCCTAACACTGAAGGGCAAAATATGTGGTCGGGTTGAATTATCTAATAAATAAGAATCTCAGTCTCGACTGTATGCCTAAGGACCATCAGTGGCACCTAGGATATCTGAATATTGTTCATCTTCACCTTTTCCTTTAACGACGATAAACCTGCACCAAAGACTGACTGACACGGGCCAGAGATTCATCATCACTCTGTAACATCCCCCCACCCTGGGCCAGTGCAAGCTCAGAGAGGCCACCCTAGCGCGGTGCTGTGTTGCAAGGGGACAGCAGTTCAGACATGACGCGAAACACGGTGTTCATTCATTCCACAGATGGGAGGAAAAGGCCACGGTGAGTCCAGGGTCCTCCCCCCCTCCACTCACCTGTCTGGAGTTCGCCTCTTCCCGTTTTCGTTCACATCGAGAAGCAGCTCTGAGGAGTCAACAGGTGAGGTGGTGCTGGCATCCAGAAGCAGCTGTTCATGCTGGGCGAGGTACTGGGCAGGGTTCTGTTTGGCCAGCCTTGCGCAGTGGAGGAGCTCGCGCTGCAGCAGGGGCAAGTTGGCCTGTGGGAGCACGACAGGAATGAGAGGGCGGGCCGGGAGGCTCCTTCCAACCAGTGGACCTGGTCCGCTTTTTCCAACACTGGCGTGCACGTGACCCAGCGCAGCATCTGAGCCTGGGTCGCCCCAGACGTGGGGCGCCTGACCTCTGTGAGCCCACCTCACCAATCCCGCCTCGGTGTCCCGGACAACCTTGGAAGTGGCACCTGTTTGTTTTTAGAGTCCCTTCGTACTCCAACACAACGGGATTATAAACTCCATAGGATATCAGCTTCCGGCCCCACCCATGAGCAACTTCTATCTCCACAGGGAAGAGGGAAGGGACGTGAAATACAAATACGGTTCAATTAACCTCGAGGTGAGCTCCCTAACGCATCCAAACTATCTAGTGACCTACCTAAGTAAAACAGGTTAACCCCGTGAAATACCTCTGGCCAGCTACTAACTCCAAACGAAAAAATACGGAGATGAACATAAAGGTTGCTTTTAATACTCATCAGATTTATGCAACATTTAAGTAATGGCCTGAGTTCGGTCAGACATCCCAGGTGGAATTTATGCAGAAAGCAGCAAATACTACTAGTCTACAACGGAAATCTGCTTTCTTTGCACCGATCAGCCTTATTCTGAGGAATGTACGTTTTCTAGCATCAGAAGAAATCCTGTGTGGGGCGCCTGGGTGGCTCAGGCGGTTGAGCGTCCGGCTTCGGCTCAGGTCATGATCTCGTGGTCCGTGAGTTCGAGCCCCGTGTCGGGCTCTGTGCTGACAGCTC